AGAGCTGCTCCGCTGGGACGAGCCACTCCGACCCCCGCCTCCACCGCCACCCCCGCCTCCACCGCCACCCCCGTCTCCGCCGCCACCTCCCCCACCAGTACCGTCGCTCCCACCGCTCCCACCGCCTCCTCCGCTACCACCTCCGCCGCCACCTCCGCCTCCACCGCCGCCACCAGTACCTCCACTCCCGCCACCACCCCCACCGCCACCCCCACTCCCCCCGCCACCCCCACCGCCTCCTCCACCGCCCCCTCGAGCTCCACCCGCTCCCCTGCCCCCCTTGCTCTTGCCAGAGCGGCGTCTGCCGCTGGGGGCAGACGCCGCGCCGACCGACTCAAAACCAGTGAGGTCGGCCGCAGCGGCAGAGGCGACAGAGGGCAGCAGGGGGGAAGGACCACACCCCTCAAAGATGGGGGTGCGAGGGTCACCCCGAGAGGCCCCTACAGCGACAATACTCTTCTCAGCCGCTAGCAGGGACTCCTCAAGGAGGTCGACAGTGAGAGTGGTGGGACAGACAGAGAGAAACTGGTCCCTAACGACACGAAGGGACTCAGGGAGACGGGTGACGAGAAAGTAGAGGGTGATGTACATGGGAGGAGGGTTCGCAGCGCGGAACTCAGCAGGAAGGGCAGCGCGGTAGCGGGTGTCACTAGCACGGAGGTGGGTAACAAGGTCAGCGACAGTGGGAAAGGAAGCGAGGTCAGGGAAGAGAAACGGTAGCATGAGGCGGCTAAGGGTAGCGGAGGAAGGGGAGGAGTAGCGTGCAACTACAGCGTCGTACAAGGCCTGAGCGGTCTTGCACTGACTAAAGTGGGCACGCTCAGAGGAAGGGAGGTGGCGACGCACAGCAAGACGTGCAGCAGCATCGCGGGTCGCCCACTTGGAGCGAACGGCAGAGTCAGCATCAGCAGGTGGGGCAGGAACAGCGCCAGAGACAAAGTCAAAAAGAGAGACCTCATCTATCGCATCACACAGTAAGTACAGCTGCAGGTCTTCAATCCAGACGGCAAAGTCAATGGCCCTCCCCTCAGCGTCAAAAGTAAGAACATTGGGGGTGGCCATGGCAGCAGCTGGAAGTCTCACCGGGCTGGGAGAGTCGGGTAGGTCAGCCGCAGAAGAACACAGCTCAGGAACAGCAGCACGGCGGCTCGGGCGGCTCGGGCGGCTCGGGCGGCTCGGGCGGTTCGGGCGGCTCGGGCGGCGGCTCGGTCGCAGCTCAGCGGCGGCTCGGGCGGCGGCGGCTCGGCGGCGGCTCGGCTGCTGCTGGGCGGCTGGGCGGCGGCTCGGGCGGCTCCGGCTCGGCGGCGCAGGCGGCGGCGGCTCGGCGGCGGCCCGGGCGGCGGCTCAGGCGGCGGCGGCTCGGCGGCGGCTCGGCTGCTGCTGGGCGGCTCGGCTGATGCTGGGCGGCTCGGCGGGGCCGCGGAGCAGAGGGCTGCGGTGCCGCGTAGGAGAGGGCGGCGGGGCCGCGTAGCAGAGGGCGGCGGGGCCGCGTAGCAGAGGGCGGCGGAGCCGCGTAGCAGAGGGCGGCGGGGCCGCGATCGAGGGGCGGCGGGGCCGCGTAGCAGAGGGCGGCAGGGCCGCGTAGCAGAAGGCGGCGGGGCCGCGTAGCTGAGGGCGGCAGGGCCGCGACGTAGGGCGGCGGGCGGGCCTTCGAAGTAGGGCGGCGGGCGGCCGGGACGTAGGGCGGCGGGGCCGCGACGTAGGGCGGCGGGCGGGCCGTCGAAGTAGGGCGGCGGGCGGGCCGGGACGTAGGGCGGCGGGGCCGCGACGTAGGGCGGCGGGCGGGCCGTCGAAGTAGGGCGGCGGGGCCGTCGAAGTAGGGCGGCGGGCAGGCCGCGACTTAGGGCGGCGAGGCCGCGCGATAGGGCGGCGGGGCCGCAAGGTAGGGCGGCTCGACAGGCCGCTAGGGAGGGCGACACGACGGGTCGCTAAAAAAAGGACGCGCGCCTCGGGGCGCGCTTCGGTGGGCCCAAGAAACAGTCCCTAGTAGGGGACCTGCTCTGATTCCATGTGAAAGAGAGAACGAGGATGAAATGACTATGGAAGAAGTGAGTACAAATAGAAAACCCTAATTGGGTTGTACCCCCTATGGGATACCCCACTATAGCCTACACAATAGTATAAGCTATATAGTTCTGACAAGAAGTTCCGCGAGCTCAACTGCGTGCCGGCGGTCATCCCGTCTGGGTGCACGGCGGAGGTGCAGCCCCTCGATGTCTCTATCAACAAAAGCTTCAAAGCTTCAATCCGCCAGCAGTATCAAAAGTGGTTTCAAGAAGAGGGGCAGGAGCAGCTAACAGCAGCAGGTACGTTGTAAGCTACGGTAGATGCATATGCTTGTTCATCCACTCCTCGTCCCCTTTGCAACACTAACTCTGTCCGTAGTGTTATTGTCCGTGCAGGGAATCTCAAGAAGCCCCCCCCCCAGCAGTGGTCCTGCGATAGGTCTCTCGGGCATGGAAGGCCGTGCCCGCCGACCTCATTAAGCGCGCCTTCCTCACTTGTGGCATTAGCAATGCGCTTGACGGCAGCGAGGACGGCCTCGCGATGGCACACAGGCGGACCCAGCTGACCGCGGAAGTGGATGTCGACGATGACATCATCGTTGATGGCTTCTTTGGCAACAACTGCCAGGAGCCTGAGTGTGACGAGGAGGAGTAAGAACGGTAGTTGGTTCATTGGTGGGAAGGCTTGTATAAAGATCTGTTCATTGAGTTAGAAGTACGTATCGTACATGGATGTAATTGTTGGTGCTAGACTTATAATGGAAATTTTTGTGATATTAGTATTAAGTTTCTTAAATTGAAAAAAAGAAATGTATTTAAGTAGGCGCTTATAATAAGTACGGGTACAAAATGGTATGCGCTTATAATCGAGGAACGGCCATAAGCGCCATGCTCCAGATAGAGGCGCCGGCGCCTTTAATCGGACGGAGCCTATATCCGGGGCCATACGTTACGTCATGAAATTGCATGTCAATTGTTGAAGATTGGTGGAATGCTGACACAAGGTTCTAAAATCCCAAAGATTTTGACGGAAGTTTTACTGTAACGCGTTCCTCTCTCCACCATCACGCCTTCCCCGATCCGACCACCAACCACATTGGTCAGCCCAAGTCTTTGACTTCTTCGGGGTTTCGCAAAGTTGTTCTTGGTTTCGTGTAGAGCGTTTTTCTTAGTGAAGCAAAGTTTGCGTGAGTCACCCCAGCACCACACCATCTAATCGAGCAATCCACACTGCATCTTCCCTGCAGTATTTCCCAAAACTCCCGCGAGAGACCAAGACAAGAACGAGAAGGCGTGTAGATATCCGCGTTATTCGCCCTTTGATAGCAGTTGGAGACAACTTCTCTGGAAACGGCTTAAATTTCTTTTTTGCTCTCGATCTCCCGCGCTGCAACGCGCACGCGCAAACGGCGGCTGACGACTCGTGGGGCAATAGCAACAGAACTGTCCACCGCGCCGTTCACGCGGGCAAGGCCGCGTGCGTGCAGGGCGGCGACGGCAGCGCATGCGGCAAACGAGCACACCGTGACGGCTCGATAACGCGCGCGGTACTATCCATGGGGTATCGCGGTTGCGCCGCGGCGATGGGGACGCGCCGCGGCGTCATGGTGGCGGCGAGGGCGGCGGTGATGGCGCTGGTGGTGGCGCGCTGCTGCATGCCCTTCGCACGCGCTGCTCCCGTGGTGGACGCCGAGAGTAAGCCGTTGAGCCGAGAGTAAGCCGTTAAGCCGAGAGTAAGCCGTTAAGCCGAGAGCAAGCCGTTCATTCTCGACCTCCTCCACATCACAGGCTGAGAGTAAGCCGTGACGGACCCGCTGTCGTCCCTCCACCTCCACCTCCTCCTCCTCCTCCTTTTGACAGTCAGCCATGCCGTGCACCATACCACCCAGACACCGTATCCCGATTCAACAAGCAACATGACTTCAGCTGCCCCTCCTGCCATTCCCACCTCCATCCCCCTACCCTCTCCCTGTTCCTCTCGCCTCCGCCCGTCCCCTGGGAATGTTTCCAACATGGCATGCCATGCGGCCTTGGGTGGAATGGAATAGGGTTATTGAATGGGTGGATGACATGGGTGCATGGCATGGGTGCATGGCATGGGTGCATCTCTATGGATGGTGTCCTGGATGGATGGCAGTGGACGCTTTGGCGAGTCTAGCACACGAATGGAACGATATGCGGGGTGTGGGGACATGGAGCAGGGGCGAGGATTGCAACAGCATGGATGCCGTGCGCTGCGATGGCGATGGGCATGTCGTTGCACTGTAAGCATGTCATTGCACTGTAAGCATGTCATTGCACTGTAGGCATGCCATTGCACTGTAAGCATGTCATTGCACTGTAGGCATGCCATTGCACTGTAGGCATGCCATTGCACTGTAAGCATGTCATTGCACTGTAGGCATGCCATTGCACTGTAAGCATGTCATTGCACTGTAAGCATGTCATTGCACTGTAGGCATGCCATTGCACTGTAAGTATGTCATTGCACTGTAGGCATGCCATTGCACTGTAAGCATGACATTGCACTGTAAGCATGTCATTGCACTGTAAGCATGTCATTGCACTGTAAGCATGTCATTGCACTGTAGGCATGCCATTGCACTGTAAGCATGTCATTGCACTGTCGGCATGCCATTGCACTGTAAGCATGACATTGCACTGTAAGCATGTCATTGCACTGTAAGCATGTCATTGCACTGTAAGCATGTCATTGCACTGTAAGTATGTCATTGCACTGTAGGCATGCCATTGCACTGTAAGCATGACATTGCACTGTAAGCATGTCATTGCACTGTAAGCATGTCATTGCACTGTAAGCATGTCATTGCACTGTAAGTATGTCATTGCACTGTAAGCATATCATTGCATTGTAAGCATGTCAACCTGCATTATCCCCTTGCCCTCTCATGACAGTTCCTTCGCATCTGGGAAACATGTACTTCATTCAACTTCAGTCCTTCCGCCCTCCATGCCATCCTTCTCCTCCCACAGCTTCATCACACAGTGCACCCTCGTCGGCCCCCTGCCCACGGCTCTCCTCGCATTGTCCCATCTCAAGAATCTGTGAGACTCCTTCTCATCTCCCTTCTCCATTGATTCCCCCACTTTCCCCCTCTGACTTGCCCTTGCTTGGATGAACTTGCGTCTGACTGACTTGCACGTGACTGTCTGTCTTGCATTCAATTGGCTGAACGCGGCTTGCCCTATCATCTATTCTCTTATCTTGCCTGCCTTCTCATCTATTCTCTTATCTTGCCACGCCCATGCCCTTTCTTGTGCCCACCCCTGTGTCCTTCCTTTTTCGCTTACCCCTATCATCTCCCTCCACCCACCCACCCATGTTTCTTCTGCCCCTTCACCATCATTGCACGTGCTGGCTGCCTGCAGGGATTATCGACATCCATACACTCCCTTGCTCCCCGATTGCATGGACCTGTCAGTTCGACATTCTCTCATGCATCTCCCTCCTCACTCTTCTCCCTTGCACCTCCCGCTTCTCTCTTTCACGACCCGTCACACTACCTGTTTCCCATCGGCCGCCCACTCTTGTTTTCCCAATCTACCTGCATGAGCACGCCCAACTGCATGCCTACCGCAGACACCCACCCTCAAGCACATCATATCCACCCCACTTCCTCCCTCTTTCTCCTCTTCCCCTCTTTCTCCCCTCCCTGCCGTGTCATCTCCCCTCATTGCCTAACATGGCCCCCACCATGCAGCAGCACCGCCTCTCACGGCGATTTCGAAGGGCTGGGCAATCTGCAGCAGCTCACTCGCCTGTGAGTGTGCTTGGGTGGGAGGGATGCAGCACATGGGGGGGAAGTGAGTGGGTGTGTGAGTGGGTGAATGAGTGCAAGTGGTGGAGCAAGAGTAGGCTTACAGCGTTGTTCCTCACACCCCATCTGGCCCCTCACACCCCAGCGCCATGATCTCTTTGCTCCCACCTGCACTGTCTGCTGCTCCCCACTCCAATCCATCTCCTGCCACTCGTTTCTCTCCTTCAGCCTCTCGTCAGCAGCCACCTCTCCCCTGTAGCACCCTCCGTGTTTCTTAACCCTCCACGTCCGTGGTGCATGGATGTTGTACGCATGGTGCATGCATGGTGCATACATGATGCGTGGATGGTGCGTACGTGCGTGCATGGTGCATGCATGGTGCAAGCAGGCGTTTGACGAACAACTATCTAACGGAGTCACTACCAGACGAGCTCTCCCAGCTGCAGAAGCTGCAGTCTCTGTAAGGCCGGGTGAGGGGCATGTGATGGCATGTGATGGCATGGGATGGCGTGTGATGGCATGTGATGGTATGGGATGGCATGCGTGTCAGAGGTGCACTGGAGATCCCCGACTGATTTTAGATCACTTTTATCCCAGTGGTTAGTGGCTGGGATTCTGACCATGTGATGGCATGGGATGGCATGGGATGGCATGTGATGGCATGGGATGGCATGGGATGGCATGGGATGGCATGGGATGGCATGGGATGGCATGGGATGGCATGGGATGGCATGGGATGGCATGGGATGGCATGGGATGGCATGGGATGGCATGGGATGGCATGGGATGGGATGGGATGGCATGGGATGGCATGGGATGGCATGGGATGGCATGGGATGGCATGGGATGGCATGGGATGGCATGGGATGGCATGGGATGGCATGGGATGGCATGGGATGGCATGGGATGGCATGGGATGGCATGTGATGGTATGTGTATTACATTCCATCCTCCCATGATTCCATCCTCGTTCTTCATTTTCACCTTCCTCATCCTCCCCGTCTGTTCATGGGTTCCTCACACCCCTTTTCCCTACATCTTCCCTGCTCCTTACCTCTCGACTGCTCCTCTCATGGTTTATGTTTCCATCATCAGGCACTTGAATCATAATCAACTGTCTGGGGAGCTGCCTGCGTGGATCTCCAGCCTCACAGATTTGACTTCACTGTGCGTGCTGCCATGAACCATCTGCCATGCACCATCTGCCATGCACCATCTGCCATGCACCACCTGCCATACACCACGCCCCATTGAACCTCCTTTTCCATAACAAGCATGCCCGTGTCACCACTTACTTATCTCACCTATCTTCTTTGCACTTCTAAGATGCTAGTCCATCATGCCACTCTAGTTAGCAGAACGATGCTCTCATAGCAGAGACACGTCTTCTTACTGCCTTCTTACTGCTCTTCCTTCTCCATGAGTGAGGACCCCATGAGTGCTGTTGCTGCTGCTCACATTCTAGTTCGCACAAGAACGCTCTGATTCCAGAAGTTGTATTCAAACCCACACAACTTGGCATTGCTCCCAACAACTTATTCGACTCCCTTCGCATCTTCCCGCTTCAATTCTCACCTCTTACCCATACCTTCCCTTCCGGCCCTCACTCTCCAATAATTCCCCTCCCCTCTCCGCACTTCCCTCCTCCCTGTTTCCACCCAACCATCTGAACGCATCAGGATTATCCAGAAGAACAACTTTTCAGGCTCCATTCCAGAGGCAATCAGCAGCCTCAAGCAGCTAAGGCATTTGTGAGTGCTGAATCGCAAGACACATGCAGAGCATATACATGCACTGCTGCCGACACAGGCAGAGCAGACAAATGCACTGCATGTATATGCACTGCATGTATATGCACTGCAGGTATATGCACTGCAGGTATATGCACTGCAGGTATGTGCACTTCTGGTATGTGCACTTCTGGTATGTGCACTGACGGTGCTGCGAGGTTGGTCCTGCAATGCACCAGGGATGCATGTGAGGCAATGCGTTATCAACCTTCCCACACCCAACCTCCTCCGCTCCCCTCCATCATTCCTCTCTGCGCCACACTTCACCGCACTGTGCCGCACTTGATCGCAGAGTCCTTGAGGAGTACGATCTGTCAGGGACCATCCCCAAGGCAATAGGAGCGCTCACCAATCTGGAAAATCTGTACGGAAGTGGGATGTGCATCGTGATATGCCAATGGGATACTGATAGTGCATTTTGAGTCTTGCAAGCCATTGTTGCCTGATGCCGCAACTCACATCACCAGCTCGACCACATTGCAAGCAGTGAGTATTGAGGACGAGAGCGTTGGTACTACCTTCACTCCTTTTCCAACGTCTCTTGTGCCTTTGCAAGGGCACTTGGGTCTAGCTTCTGTTTTGAGTCGACTCAAAACTAGGCTCTCGGCTCTACCTTCGGTTTGACTGAAGCTTCTCCGGTAGACTAATTGTGAGAGTTCTCAAAATCAGTCCACATAGTAACGTGGCTCGTTTGAGTGAAACTTCTCAGGCCAGTGGGCTCATCAGACAGGCCAGTGGACGTACCCAGGCCAGTGGGCTGCCATCAATCTACAGAGCTGCCACACATGCTATACCTTATCTTCAATCCCATGCCGTCCCATGCCATGCCATCCCATCCCATGCCCTCCAATGCCACCACATGGCAGGTGGCTGCGCTGCAACAGTCTGAGTGGCACCATTCCCACCTTCATTGCCCACCTCACCGCACTCACCACCCTGTGTGGCCATTCTCCCTCCACCCCTTTCTCTCCCATTCTCCCTCCACCCCCTTCTCTCTTATTTTCTGCAACATGCTTAACGGCTCTGTGTTATCAGCAAGTGTGTTCCGAAACACTACATGCTTTTCACTCAGTTGTAAAGCGATCATATAAGACCACCACGCTGCACGAGACAGCTCAGAGAAAATAACTCTGCACTGCTCCCACCATCCTCCATTCAAGCGTTGCCTTTCATTCTCTCCTCCATTCACTCGGCGTGATCATCATTTCCCTCCCTACCTTCCACCTCCCTGCCTGTCCTTCCTCTCTCCGCCCATCCTTCCTCTCTCCACCTATCCTTCCTCTCTCCGCCCTTCCCCTCACCTCCGTCCCCGCCCTCCGCCCACCCTCTCCTCCCCATGCTCCAGGGTACTATATCAGAGCGGCCTCTCAGGCTCCATTCCAGAGGCAATCAGCAGCCTCAAGCAGCTACAAAGCTTGTGAGTGCGGATGGGGTAGGCATGATAGGTCCCCCTCAGTGAGTAAGTGAGTGGGAGAGTAAGAGGCCAAGAGAGGGTGGGCAAGTGAGTGACTTGTGGGTGTAAGTGCGAGTGAGTGATTGGGTGAGGGGATGAGAGAGTGAGTGGAGGCATCCCTACGGGCTAATGTCCTGCCCGTCCATCCCATTCAATACCATTCCACATCCAATCATAACGAGGCCCTCAGGTTTCAGTCATTTTACGCAGGTACAGCCTGCCACTCCACGTTTTCTCTCCTCCTCTCCTCCTACCCTCGTCTCCTCTTCTCCTCTTCACCTCCTCCCTTCTTCCCCTCTTCCTCATAACCTCATTCCCTCTCCGTCTCTCTTTCCCGCCATGTCCATTCATCCACCTGTCTTCAGGGAACTCAGCAAAAACCGCCTTGCGGGGACGATACCTGCTGCAATCACCACTCTCATTAATCTCGAGTACCTGTCAGTGTTGGGCCGTGTAACATTGTACCGACCAGGCCTAATAGCCGTCCAAATGGTTGGGTCGGGTCTGGCGATCTCAAAAGGCTGTAACATTTAAGCAGACCCTGCCACACATTTCGATTACGACCTTTGTTTTCGCCAACTCGTGGGCCACCCACTCTGAACTACCCCTGAACTTTAAGGGTGATTCCCAGTTACTGCATTCGAACGGAGTGTGGAATATAAGGGGAGCAGATAGATTAGGGCGTTTATCAAATTCATTAAGCACTACTGCTACACATCTATTCTTCTCTCTGAAACGCCACTCCTACTACTCGCAGCAGCTGGTTTCCTTTCTGCCGCCCACACATCTCTTCCTTTCTACTTGCTGCGCATTGACTTGAAGGGTGGCAACCTCGTCATCCATAACTCCTCCCATTCCCATAACTCCTCCCACTCCCATAACTCCTCCCACTCCCATAACTCCTCCCACTCCCATAACTCCTCCCACTCCCATAACTCCTCCCACTCCCATAACTCCTCCCACTCCCATAACTCCTCCCACTCCCATAACTCCTCCCACTCCCATAACTCCTCCCACTCCCATAACTCCTCCCACTCCCATTACTCCACCTACTCCCATACACTACTTACTTTCCTCTCCCGAATCTACCAATCGTTCCTGTAAAGCCCTTTCTTGCTCTTACTTGGATGCATTTAAAATTCTCGTCCTCCTCCTAAGAGCCCTGTCCATGCCTTAAAAAATATGAAGGGAAGCATAGAGCTTAACACACCCGTCTGATCCAACACAACGCTGACATATGAGTATTTGTTGAGTTTCACAACTCAGGGCGTATTCCTGGCTTCGTGTCGAACTGTGTTTGTGTCGACCTAGAATCTTGGAACGCATGGCGATTGATAAAAAATCACAACTAGCCAATCACGTGCGCTCCAGAGATATGGTTTGACGCCAACTGGTTCTTGACACAAAGTCGGGAAATACGCCCTCAAAAGTCGACGACTCAAGATCCTACTCATGTCTCATCGCTCCACTTTTCCTACACTCCATCTTTCACCACACTCCCATTCCCAACCACTCCTCTGCCTTCCCACCTCTCCCGCTCCCACCTTCCCATGGCATCACAGCCGCCTTGACCACAACCAGCTGACGGGAGAGCTGCCCTCCTTCCACCACATGGCCCGTCTCACTTCGCAACGCGGACTGTCAGCAGACCACAACTACCTCACATCCACAGCAGACCCTCTCTCTTTCAACGCTACCAGCCAAGAGGATCCTTTATACTACCATAGTGTGTGTTGGTTTGAGCACAATTGCCTTGGGAACGACAACAACAACACACTCTCCAGCAACTGTTGGCAGAATCAGAGGCGAGCCAGCGAGTGCCGGGCGTTCTGTGGGGCGCAGCCCCTCACCCCGCCGTGCAGCGGCCATGGCGTGTGCTCCTTCGAGCCTGATCCTTCCAAACTCCCCTCTGTTGAACCCGAGGGCCAGTGCGTCTGTGATGAGGGGTACACGCCAGGGACAAAGCCTGGCACGTGCGTCTCCCACGGTATGCCTGCTGCTGAATGCTCTCGCTTGCTGGTTCCTGCGTTCTTCTCTTCCCTTTCACCCACAAGTTCAGCCCAGCAGCGTCTTGTCTTCCAAAGTCTGCTTGCCAACATGCCTGCTTGCCAACATGCCTGCTTGCCAACATGCCTGCTTGCTATCCCACACATGCCCCATGGGTTCCACTGGCCTGCTCATGCCGGGTAGTGTCACTCGCGCTCCTCCACTGGCCGCACTGAGTCCATTCGGAGCACCCTAGAAGAAGTGGAAACTGGACACGCGTGCCGGGGTGTCAGTCTTGTTTCCCTCCACTCAAGCCACACTGCGTCTGCATCGTGCTTGCATCCGGCTCACAGTCTCTGTGAGCCCGTCAAGACCGCACTGCCCTTACCCGTCCCGACTTTCTTTACATGCCAACTTCAGTCCACTGCTCAGTCCGTCTCCACCACTACCTCATCCCCCCTTCCCTCATCCACCCTGCAGGCACCAACCCATCATCTGAACCGCCAGACACTGCAGCCATGGGGGTGGCTCTAGCTGCACCATCCCACCCTCTGAATCAGGCATCAATGCCCTTCACTCTCTCTTTCCACAACTCACCGTCTGAACCGCCAAGCACTGCAGTCGTGGGGGTGATTGTGTCTTCTCACCAGGCACCTCGAAACCTGCTGCTGCTGCTTCCACTGGCGGTGCTGCTGCTGCTGGCCTTCTCACTGCCACAGTTTCTGAGGCGCCTCAAGAGTCGACCCCCCACACGCTACTTCTTTTCAAAGAGAGCCCTTGCTGCCCAGCAAGCTGCCATGGGTGTGGAGATAACTTGCTAGTGCAGGATTGCTAAGGGTTCACTTCCATGACTAAATGTGTTCTAATATCTTTCAAAAGGATTTTTTTTTTGTAATATTTTCCATAAATTACTGTCACCCAGAAATTACTATTCGCTAGGTTACAATTGTTAAATATACAAACATAAGATGATACTTATGCTGTTAGGTTTTACTGTAGTGTTCCTTTATAAGACTCTCAGTCCTCCAATAATTGTACAATTATTGGAGGGTCAGAATTATTGGAGTCTAGAATTATTGGAGGGTCAGAATTATTGGTGGGTAGAATTATTGGCATGGCATTGTTGGTGTGGATAGAACCATCATGAAGGGGTTAGCTGCTCATATAAATATCATGCTCTGTCATTTTCATAACATTTCCATTGTTCTGAATCTTTTCAGTTGTAAGTTCCTCTTGCTACTTATTCTACAATCAAGCTTCCGCAATACCGGCACTATGCCTTTCTAGCATGGTATCAGAGCTACTCTAGGGGGCATGCTGCCGAAATTTGGTTAGAACCTTATCAGCATTCACATTGGACAGGGATATTAGCAAACTCGCACAGCAAGTGACAACATTTGGATTGGAGGCATGGCGCGGTTCGACGATAAAGTCGATGCTGGATACGAGGCGTTTGAAGAAGCCATCATGGCTCAACATGAGCACCTGGAGAACATGATTGCAAGGGCACCACCAACACTCCAAGCATCATTAAGAGCAAAGTTCAACATGCCAGCCCAAGTTCAAGATTTCAGCAACCCATCCATCCGTGAACAGTCACATGCAAGCACTCCGCGTACTAACCAAACCCGTGCTTCAAATATGGATGCAGGGATTGAAGGTGAAGGAGAGGGAAGCTTACCCCAAGGAGGAGAGTCATCCCAAGGGAGGGATGCATCCTTCCAAAGAGAGGGGAGCTCCCACCCCGAACCTCAATCAACCATGCAAAGGGAAGCAACGGGGAGGGATGATGCGTACGGGAATGGAACAAATGTGATGGAGCATGGTGATGGGATCGGCGTGGGAAGAATCATGAGAGGGCAGATTGGGGAAGGGAGTGGTCGAAGCAGTCATGTGGGCATGGACGGTGTGGGATTCGAATCCTACACTATTGGTGCTCCCCCACTGCGACGTCTCGCCACTAACTCCCATCCCATTGGAGTTCCCGTGATGGGCAGATCTCACCTCTTTGGCAACAACGTCGTACCTCCTCGTGCGCCACGGTTTCAAATGGAAGCGGTACATGCAGGAAGCATGGGGCGCATGGGGCACGGGATGCAGTCAAGTGGTGTTATGCGACATGATCAAGTGGAAGTGGGGGAACGTGAAGGCACACAACGCACGGTACAACTACCTCGACCATCTAACGTGCCTACGCTCTTCGACCCGTCTCCACGCGAGTACACGGAAGAAGACAAGGACAGGTTGTCACGCAAAATGGTGGGAGCAGCGGTGGACAAAGCGTTCACAACAACTCCATTCGACGGCACTAACTTTCGAGAGTGGGCTCTTCGATTTCGCATGAACGCGCGCGTGACAAACCTGTGGGAGTTCTTCGTGACGCTACAGTACCCGGTTACAATGGTGCAAGGAGAAATGCGAGATGCAATGGAACGGCTGGAAGTTCTGCAAGCAGATTACTCACAACGTGCTACGCTGGCTTTTTGGGTGCTCCTGCATAGCGTAAGCGCAACGATTCAGCTGCAACTTGACGTGTTCCAAGAGTCATACAGTCCGGCATTCGAAGCATGGGAGTACCTGATGGAGACTTACCAGGCGAAGGATTCGGTAGCAAAGGCGTCTCTCCAGAGGCAATTGGACAACCTGAAGATGGGGAGCCAAGAAAGAGTGGAGGAATACATCAACCGAGCAACTGCACTTCGGGATAAGCTGGCAATGGCGGGAAAAATGGTAGATGAAGATTCATTCACTTTAAATTTGATCACCGGGCTGCCGCCGCATTGGGAGGAGTTGAGGCATTCGGCAATGCTACACGACATCTCGGACAGCTACGCACTGCAACGAATGATGATTCAGGAACAACGCTACCAAGACCTCATTAGCAAGACCAACCGTGACAAGCGTCCTCCCCGCATGGCTGGCCAAGCACGTGGAGATAATTCACCAGCGAAAGAGAGAACCGAGACAAAGGACAACCGAAATGCGGCAAGGTCAGCAGGAGGACGGTCTAACCTTGTGTGTTGGTACTGCAAGGAATCTGGCCACCCGTTCTACAAGTGTCCGAAGGCGCCTCCGGGTTGGTCACCACCAGGTTGGGAACCACAAAACAGAGGGAGAACCAACCAACGCACCTGGAGTAGTCGCTCGTCCTCGCCGCGAAGGAGTGAAAGTCCGAAACGTGACAACCAAGCGACAAAACAGCAAGGGGCAGGCGGGGGAGACAACAAACGAACCATGACATGCATTGCAACGGTTCGATCGTCGCAAGCAACATCACCGTCAACCGGAGGGTCGATGTGGCTGCTGGACAGCGGATGCAGCCAACACATGACTTCGGAAAAGGAGTGGTTTGAGGGTCTAGAGGAGCTGAACGAACCCGTTTACGTGGAACTTGCTGACGGAAGCCACCTGTTGAGCTCGATGGCGGGAACAATCCGAGCAACGGCACCCAATGGAACAACAGTGCGCTACACGGACGTACTCTACGTACCCGACTTGAAGTCCAACTTGCTCTCCTATTGTCAGCTGTACAAGAAAGGAGCTCGCATTCACACACGTGAGGATGGGCGCACGGAGATCACAATGGCGGATGGGGATGAGCATGTACTCATTGGAGGTGGAATGGTCATGCATGGGGTGCTAATGGTGCAATATGAGCCTGCACTTGCATCCGCCCATGCATCTGGTCATGATCATCCGAATGAAGCATTGAATGAGACTGACCTTGGAGGGCCGAATGTGCAATCTGCTCATGCATCCATCACATATCGCATGGCCCACAAGCGCTTGGGTCACCCATCATACACATCCATGGATGCGACATTTCGAAATGGTGATGTTGAAGGACTCACCATATCCGACAAGACTAACCCTCTCAAACCCCCATGTGACTCATGTCTTCGAGGGAAGATGAGCGAGGCCCCTTTTCCCACAGGAAGCACCAATGCCACAACTCGACCTTTGGAGCTCGTGCACAGCGACATCATGGACCTGGGTGATGCTCACCCTTCCCTTCGCTATGTGCTGACGCTCAAGGACGACTACACCAACTACCTGTGGGTGGCGCCGTTGGCTCGCCGGTCCGACATGGCTGCAGTTTTCTCGGCTTGGCACGGTGAGATGAAGACCAAGCTGCCCAAGATGCCGCTGGCTGCCTTGCGCACGGACAACGGGGGGGAGTATACATCAAACGCATTCACGGATTACTTGAGTTCTCACGGTATCAATCACCAAACGTCCTTACCACACACGCCGCAGCAGAATGGAGTCGCCGAACGGGTTAACCGCACACTCATGGACCGAGTGCGAGCAATGACTACCGGGGCCAGCCTTTCCTCCAAGTTCTGGCCTTATGCACTGGAATATGCGGCATGGTTACACAACCGCATCAGCTGCAGCAACAACCCATCCGCACACTCACCATACTTCATGATGATGGGAAAGGCAGCAGATGTCTCCATGGCCAGAACCTTCGGATGCCTCTGCTACTATCTCCCTCCCCAAGGCAGCTTTGGGAAATTTGAACAACGAGGACGGGCAGGCATGTTTCTCGGCCTCTCTTAACTCACGCAAGGCCTGGATCGTGCGGGACTTGGCAAGCGACGTTGACACCGACACGCGCTCTGCTCGGTTCTTTGACGACCTCATGCTCTCGGACGCCGAGTCTCTGCTCGAACGCCAACGATACATGGATGAAATCTCACCTCATATCTCGGAGTGGACTTCAGGGGGAGACGACGTTGGGTCAGCATTCGACTCTTTTCCCATATCCCACACTTCCTCCCCATCATCTTCTGACGCCGCCACAACAGAACAACATGGACCTGAGGCAAATGACGGAGCTCAAGAAGACTCACCAGCAGCTCGTGAAGCCGATACAAGAGAAGAGACAACGACAAGTGACTTACCAGCGGCAGGCATCTCTGTTTGTGAAGGTGCTGACATCAACGAACCAGAACATGAAGCAAGTCATCTCTACGACTTTGCCTACCCACCCGAGGGTATCCAGCTGGTTGCTCTTGAGGTACCGCCACGGCGGGTTCACTTCAACCCAACGGTAACAGTGCTTGGAGAAGGACACGGGACGGACAACATGACTGGCCTGGACGTACTATTTGGGAGGCGGCAGGCAAGACAAACAGTCACACGATTTCCCAACTTGCAGCAGCAGACCGTACTAGGATGTGCAGCAACCGGCGTCCCCATGGTGGAGCTGACATACAAAGAGCCAAAAACACTTCAAGAAATGATCAAGGACCCGTACGCACCTCTTTGGCAAGCCGCTGTGGATGCAGAATTGGCCAAGTTCGATGAGCTGGACGCATACGAAGTGGTGGACAGAGCGGACGTACCACAAGGAACACCGGTGCTGTAGGAAGGAGTCGTTTTACGAGTGAAACGAGATGAGCACGGACAACCAAACCGGTTCAAAGCGCGCTGGGTGGTCAAGGGATGCGGCCAAACTTGGGGGACATACGATGGGACATATGCACCGGTCAGCCAAGGACCTACCTCTCACATATTCGTTGCTGGTGCATCTGATACAAAGCGGAAGGTGGTGCAATTGGATATCTCCAATGCATTCCTATATGCTCCAATTGACCGGGACATATACGTGAAACCACCAGAACCAAGGCGGGACGGAGACAAAGTCTGGAAGCTCAAAAGAAGTGTATATGGACTGAAACAAGCACCACGCTTGTGGCATCAGCACTTACGGGGTGTCTTGTTGGCGCTGGACATGGTGCAGTCCGAATCAGACCCCTCTCTGTTTATCTGGAAAAGAGACGGACAGGACACAGTGTGGCTACTCACTTACGTCGACGACATCCTCATCCAGTCTCATGACGCAGAAGGCATTGACGCTGTGATTCAACACTTGAAGCAGCACTTTACCTTAACGGTCAGCAAGACCATGACACAGTTTTTGGGGCTCAACGTCGCCGCGGACAATGACTCGATCGCACTCGGACTCACAAAGTACATCTCACAGGCTTTGGCGACATTCGGGATGGAGGGCAGCCGTTCCGGAGTACGGACACCGATCGCCAAGGAACCTGGACCACAAGGAGAACCACCGGACGAGATTGATGGTTAATTGGTGCTGAAACAAGTTGGGACATTGCTGTACATCTCAACAGCAGGGCGGCCGGACATAACCTATGCGGCGCATGTGCTGGCCAAGCAAGCAAGCAAACCAACAGCAGCGACAGTACTTGGAATCCACCGGGTATTCAACTACTTACAGAACACTGCAGACATGGGGCTGGTCTATGGCGGAGGAGAGTTGGTGCTCCGTGGATATACGGACTCGGATTATGCGAACGAAGAAGGGCGTCACCCAGTTGGAGGCTACGTGTTTACCTTGGGAGGAGCTGCTGTCAGTTGGAGGACCAAACGACAAACGGTCATTGCGACATCAACAGCTAAAGCGGAATACATTGCACTGTTTGAAGGGGCAAGGGAAGCCACATATCTTCGCCGCTTGTGTGAAGACCTCGGTTTTCAACAGCAAGACCCTACCGTCATCTTTGTGGATAACCAAAGCGCCATTGCGCTTGCAACCGGGGAGCAGATGAGTCAACGCATCAAGCACATGGACGTACGTTACCATTGGACGAGGAAGGTCGTTCGTGATGGAGTTGTACGGCCGGAGTACTGCCCAACAACTCAGCAAGCTGCGGATTATCTTACCAAGCCCCTCACAGCAAAACAACATCTCACCTGCAGCCTCTTGTGCGGTCTCCAACCTCTTCCACATGTCACACCGTCTGCACACAGTACTCACATTGAAGCTGCTGGAGCTGCTCTCTCAAGTTCGGGCTTCACAAAGGGAGCTGAACAACACGGCATCACGTAACTCCACACATCTCACTCATGTGTTTGATGATGTGTGCATGCTCAAGCATGTGCATGCCTACAAACGCACGAGTGAGAGGGGGAGTGGGGTGTAGAGTATCTTGGGGTGCAACAAATCAGGATTTCATCTCACAACCATCTTTTCATTTTCACAAAAGTCCGCATATCATCATGAGAAGACCTACTGCAATCAGTAACAACGGCAGCCATCAGATATTCTGCTGCACAGTCGCTGCTGCCGGTTGGTCACAACCACTTGCCATCTGCAACGGCCGTTCCTGAAGACTTCAAATGCCTGCTGGTTTCAGGGGGAGAAGAAACAAGACAGCATGAGTCAAAACATTGTCCAAGCCAAAAGAGACGGAGGGCATCACAAGAAGCAGCTGACGATGTACTACTGAATACAGAAGCATAATTCCAATAGGAGGCAAGGGGAGCTGGAGACAGGGGCTGCTGGTGCTGCTCACCACTCATCATGGTGACGCAGGTGCTGCTGCTACAAGGCGTCAGGGGGAGCTGCCGCAGGGCGTAAGGAAGCTACAGGACGGTGCTGCGGCCTGCCAGGTGCTGGAGTAGCCCACCAGGTGCTGCTGGTGCTGCCGAGGGTAAGGAGCTGCCGTCACCGTTGCCATACTATACCTGCAGGTGGTGGGAAGGACAAACAGTGGAGAAGGAAGTCAGTCACGTGACACAGGCAAGTTTCACCGCTACACTTCAAAGAATGAAAGGTGACTCCCTTGGTCAGAGGGAGAAAGTGGAGCGGACCGTCAGGTGCTGCAGCTGCGGCCAGCTCATACCATTGCCTGCCGCCTTACCTGAAGCACGATGGCATCAGGAGCTGCAGCCGTGCGTCACCAGCTGCCGCTGCCGCCGCCCATCATGGTGGGGTGAGCGAGCCAGGAGCAGAAGCAGCCGCCAGGTGCTTGTGTACCAGTTGCAGCTGCCTGCGGGGGTCACCTAGTATAGGGGGAGCAGCACATGGTCACGAGGAGCAGCACAGGGTCATGGGAAGCAGCACAGGGTCATGAGGAGCAACACAGGGTCATGGGAAGCAGCACAGAGTAACAGGGTAACATGGGTAAAACTGACAAGAGTCAACTAAGCATTCTCACCTCGGTCGGAAGGAGAAAGCCGTGCGCAGCCAGGAGTAGCAGTAGTGGGCCGCCAGAAGTAGCAGCCGTGCAGCCGCCAGGAGCAGCAGCCATGCGCTACCAGGAGCTGCAGACGTGTGGGCCAGAGTGCCAGGTGCCGATGCCGGCTGCAGCCGCTCACGCTCGCTAGCTGGTATGGGCGGGGGCAAGGAAAATCACAAGAGAATGTGGGAGCAGTAACAAGCGACTTAGCACGGCCAGTGCTGCAGTACATCAATTGCAAGAAACACACATGAGTGAGGTCAAGATGCAAGCAGTGGTAGTTACACGGAGAAGGGCAACTCACCTCGTCAAGACAGAGTATGCACGTAGCTGCAGCGGTGCGGCGTCGGAAGCTGCTGGTGTGAGAAGGCCCCGCACCTGCCAAGAGCCAAGTGTCGCAGTGCAGATGCTGCCACACGAGTACAAGGTCGCCCGAAATGGCAAGGGGAGGGCGCGCACCAGCAGAAGCCGCCACTTGCGAGGTAATGCAGCGGCGCGCATGCTGCTGCAGTCGTGCGCCAGTCGCTGCTGCCGATCGCCACGGGCGCCATGAACAGCAGTCGCGCGCAAGGAGCTGCAGCGCGCAGGTTGTCAAGCGAGGAGGTCACGGCAGCCGCGCGACCGAAGCAGCAGTCGCGGATCTGGCCGCAGCCTCAGGAAACGCGCATCCGGCGCTGCAGGTCGTCACGTGCGCTGCTGTCACCGAGCACCAGCCATGACATGGCGAGCGCTAATGATGCGCGCAGCTGAAGGACATCGCGCCATGGCGCAGCAAATTCGTCGCGACTAAAGCAGCAGTCGCGCGATAGCAAAGGAAATCGGGCCAGCACTGGAAGGCAGAAAAAGCAGCACGTCATGCAGTCCTAACGTTTCGGTGAAAAATCGGGCATAGTCTCATCAGCAGCAGCGGCAGGAAACGATGAACAAGAAACTGAACGGGAGGAGGTGCTGAGAAACCCTGAGACAATCTGTCAAGAATGAGCCTGAATGATGAGTCTGGAAGACCCCTGCTGAGCGAGAACCGAGAGATTGCGGGGAGAATTGCGACCCAGGGCGTAGCACTGCTGGAATCACCTGAGAAGCGAGACGTGCGCCTACTCAGCTTGGATCGTGCAGCCGTCGCAAGTATGGTTCCCGCCGACACTTTCTCAACGGAACGTTCGAAACCCTAGCAGGGTGGATCAATCAACAGTCACTGCCGTGATCACCGCCACCACCGAAATCACCGCCGCAATCAACGCCATTACCACAAATTCAACCGTCAATTCCAACGTATCCTCCATTCAGTCACGCCTCAGTAAAACCTACAGCAAGGGGGAGTGTTAAATATACAAACATAAGATGATACTTATGCTGTTAGGTTTTACTGTAGTGTTCCTTTATAAGACTCTCAGTCCTCCAATAATTGTACAATTATTGGAGGGTCAGAATTATTGGAGTCTAGAATTATTGGAGGGTCAGAATTATTGGTGGGTAGAATTATTGGCGTGGCATTGTTGGTGTGGATAGAACCATCATGAAGGGGTTAGCTGCTCAGATAAATATCCTGCTCTGTCATTTTCATAACATTTCCATTGTTCTGAATCTTTTCAGTTGTAAGTTCCTCTTGCTACTTATTCTACAATCAAGCTTCCGCAATACCGGCACTATGCCTTTCTAGCAACAATGCCATGTGAGCCTGGCGAGTCTAAAACGAATCTGAGGGCTTGTTGGGTGTCCAATCCTGGTTGCCTGCTAGAGTAGTATCCCTCGCTGTTGTTATAATCCTTACTGAAATATGAAGTAGCTACCACTTGGATATTATTTTTCTTCTTGTATATAGTTTGCTTATGCAAAGGGTAATGATTGCATGTCGTGATTGTACTCATGTATATCGGAGACAGGAAGTCATTGGACGACCGGGAGCAGCACTTGGAGGAGTGGTGCCGACTTTTGGAGTTTGATACCCCCATGGCGACTGCGGAGGAGTCAGAGGCGGACAAAGAACCTCCCATGCAGCCTTCCCCATGCCCTCGTTTTCCGTGTGACACGTGTTTTCACACGTTCGCTACGCGAGGGGCTGCTGCGAACCACATGAGGGTATGCCGGGCGGCTGAGGCGGAGAGGCGCGCGCAGGCACTTGGCTCGACCCCGTCACTGGTGGAGACCGACACGCAGGAGCGACCGACGCCGCGGGAATTTGGGGACGAGGCGTGGGCCGGGGTTACGTCTTGGGAATGGGAAGCATTTTTAAGTGTGGAGGCGGTTGGAGGGAGGACAGTGCGCCGGATCCCACAGCGGGCTCGGTCGGGGGTCTTAGACGCGCTCTGTTGCGTCTTAAAGCGTTTGAAGAGCCGGCCGGGGGATGAAGCCGCTACCCTACTACTCTTGGCTTTTCCGCGCCTCATCCTAGCCGTGCCTCCCAAGCCAGGCATAGGACAGAAGGCGCTGATCATAGAGCGGTTGGGGGCGTTTTGGGAGGGGAGGTGGCGGGAGCTGTTCGACTCCGCCATGGTGGCGGCGCGGCCAGCAGTACGCCCACTTGCCTACACTTGCTCTGACCAGGACCCGGATGCCATCCGCATGTCACGGTGCCGATCTCGGTGTAAAGTGGGAGAGTGGAGCCGCGGATTGGCTTGCCTTACGGCAGGGGAGTTGGCCCGGCCGTCTGAGGCCATGGTGCAGTCGCTGCGAGAGAAGCACCCTGCTAGCACTAGCGAGGTACCACAGTGGGTCCGTGATTTCACCGTCGATGCTCCTCAGCGGCCTCCACTCACGGCCGACATCCTGGCCAGAACTATCCATACAGCCGCTCGCGCTTCAGCAGCAGGGCCATCGGGGTGGGTCACGGAGCATCTGCGCGACACCTTCCTCACTGAACCTTCCTGCCTTTCCCACCTGTTGGAGGTGTTCAACCAATGGGTGGCGGGACAGGTCCCCGAGCGGGCTCGGCCCTGGCTCGCCGCATCCAACCTAGTTGGGCTTTCCAAGCCTAACGGCGACGTCCGGCCGGTCGCGATTGGGGAAGTGCTTCCGCGTATCCTTGCTCGAGCTCTCTGCATCTCGCTCCGCCCTGCGATGGCTTCCTACTTTCTGCCGTGCAACCAGCTGGGAGCGGGCACCAGGGCCGGGGTAGAGATTCTTACCCATTCTTTCCGGTCAGCGCTGGCTACTCACCCCGACTGGTGTGCGCTGCAGATAGATGTCGCGAACGCTTTCAATTCGTTTCACCGTCATGCGATGTTTGAGGGGCTGCGGGAGTCGCCTTTCTCAGGGTTGATCCCATTCTTACGTGTTTTCTACGGGACACCTAGCGATCTGTACCTCCGAGCGGGCCCTTTTGTACAGAGCCTTGAGTCGGCACGAGGATCGCGGCAGGGGGACCCGCTCGGCCCTTTTCTTTTCGCGTTCACGCAGCAGCAGGTGATGGAGTCGGTGACTAGAGAGTTCAGGGACCTACTTTTCCTGAGCTACGCAGACGATACCTATATCCTGGGACCGGCGGCTAGGATTCTAGAGGCGTTTGGGGTGCTGCGGGAGCGGTTGGAATGGGTGGGGCTGGAGGTGCAGGCGCACAAGTGCCGGTTTTGGGAGCGCGAGGGCGGGGATGTGGAGCTGGCATTGCCATTGGGGATGCAGCGGGTGGAGGAGGGTCTCACTGTGGTGGGTGTGCCTATTGGGGAGGAGGGTTGGGAGGTGACCCGGTTACGGGAGCGGCTTAGACAGTTGCAGGCGCCATTGCCATGGCTCCCCCTACTCGACCACCCCCAGATGGCTTCACATCTCCTCGCCATTGCAGTTTCAGCACGGCCGATGTACCTGGCCCGGACTATGCCGCCGCGTCCGGAGGTGGTGGAGGCCTTCAGGGATTGGGATAGCTGTCTGGAGGATTGCTTTGAGCAGCTTTTCCCACCTGGCACTTGGGAGCATGACCCCGACCGGTCTAGGCGCGCGCGCATGCAGCCTGCATCTCCCTGTGCGACTCGGAGGGTTTGGGATCCGGGCAGCAGCCTCTTTGAGTCCGCTGTCCTATGTTTGTGGGTGGGCACAGGCCGCGCGTGATATTGCACAGTTGGGGGTGGCGGGCGAGGAGGCGATGTTTGCAGAGTACCTCACCACTTCGGCAGGGGCGGAGTTTCTTGACCCGTGGTTTGCCAAGGCTCTTGAGCAGCTGCCTGCGACTATACGCCAGGAGATGCCGGGCTTACCTCTGTGCGTAGCGGCCCCTCCTCTTCGGCTTTTCCAGGCGCGGCAGTGGTTGTTGGCGGTAGAGGAGCTCCAGACACTGCGTCGCTCGGCTCGTGACGATGCCACCCTGGCCCGTTTCACATCCCTTCAGGGCCCGGGGGCTGGTGCATGGGTTTCGGCGGTTCCGGCTCACTCAGATCTCACATTCACTGCGGCGGAGTGGGGCATTGCTGCTGCTATACGGCTCGGGCTCCCAATTCAGCAGCTGCAGGTGGCGGGGAGGTGTGTTTGTGGCACAGCATATGTTGACTCAGCAGACCCGCATCATGCCCTGAGATGCAAGCACCAGCATGGTCCATCTCGGGTACATGATGAGGTGAAGTTTGCGGTGGCGAAGATCTCTAAGGCGTCTGGGGGGGTGGTGACAATGGAGGATAGTGTGGTGCTGCAGGGGAAGCGGGTTGATGTGGCGGTGCGACGACCAATGGCTGGAGAGGCTCACGCCCTGGAGATCAGCGTCGCGGACCCGCTATCGCTGTCTCCATCTTTGCTAGGACAGTGCGGGCGTCAAATAGGCGTGGCGGCAAGAGAATGGGAGCGTCGTAAAACGAGCGATTACGCGCCTCTGCTTGCACGCAACCGGGGCGTGCAGTTCACTCCTCTGATAGTGGAGACGTGGGGGTGTCTCGGCGGTCGCTTTCGGAGGTGGCTTCGTCAGCAGGGAGATGCGCACGTGGGGCTAGCTGTGTCGCGGGGGGCTTGTCGGGAGGACGACACTGTGTTTTCGGCTTATCTTCTAGGGTCACTGAAGGCGCTCATCGGGGTGGCGTTGCAACGTGCGCAAGCCCGTGTCATCCTGCTTCGAGCGGCGTCTTCTATGGGGGGGATTAACGTTGACTTGGTGGACCGGGAGTGGGACGATGGCGATGCGGAAGGCGGGGCTCTCTGGGTGGAGGCCCCGTACATGGTGGATTCGCTGTTGTGATTGGGGGGGGGGGGGGAAATGGGGTGTGGGATGGGATGTCTTGACAGGGTGTCTTGACTGGGCGTTTTGATTGGGTATCTTGAGGGGGGGTTTTATGTGTGTTGCATTTGGGTTCTTCTTGGCGGTTTCACTTTCCTTCTCCCTTTCTCTTTTCTTTTCTTTTCTTCGTCAAAAGTATTTATAAGTAACTAGGATGAGACCTGGTACTCCGAACCTGCCACTATTACTTCACAAGCCTCAAGGGGAGACAGGAAGCCTCACCAGTTGACTCCGCTGTTGCAGCTTTCCCAATAACAGCCAGGGAGCGACCTGGACTACACCCAGATGTTGAAGATCGGTGGTATACTGACACAAAGTTCGGAAATCGTTATCTCTTTAGCGGAGGTTTTACTGTAACGCGTTTCTCTCTCCACCATCTCGTTTTTCTTGACCTCGCCGCCAACCGAATTGGTCAGCCAAGTCTTCAATTTCTTCACGGCTTTGATTCAAATATCACCGACGCTGTAAACGGTTTTGCATAGTTTCGGAGCGTTTCTGTCGGTTATAAAACGGCGAGATCTGGTGAGGAAGCGAGCTTTTGATCAAGAGCAGGTCTATGCGGAGCAACACAGCATGGCACCAGTGTTTCCCGAGACTCCCGCAAGAGACCAAGATCAACACGACAATGCACGAAATTAGGTCTCCGCTGTACTCGCCCTTTGATAGCAGCTGGAGTCAACTCCTCCAGAAACGGTTTAGAGATTCTGTTTTGCTCTAAGAGTCTCGATCTCCCACGCTGCAAACGCGCACACGCAGACAGCTCACGGCTCGTGAAAGACGCAATAGCAACAGAACTGTCCACCGCACAGTTCACGCGGGCAAGGCCGCGTGCGTGCAGGACGTTCGGGGGACGGCAGCGCGTGCGGAAAACAAGCACACGGTCCGACAACGCGCACTGTGTTGTGGCGCGGCGATGGGGACGCGCCGCGGCGTGATGATGGCGGCGAGAGCAGCGGTGGTGGCGCTGGTGGTGGCGCGCTGCTGCCTACCCCTCGCACGCGCTGCTCCCGTGGTGGACGCCGAGAGTAAGCCGTGATGCACGCTGACAGTAAGCTGTGCGGGACCCACTGTCGTCCCTCCACCTCCTCCTTTTGACAGGCCGTGGTCTCTGACAGTACTACTGTGCGCCATACTGCCCCAGGACCGTAACCCGCACGCGCTGGACGCTGACAGTAAGCCCGCCCGCTCTCGTCCCTCCACCTCCACCTCCACCTCCACCTCCACCTCCACCTCCACCTCCACCTCCACCTCCACCTCCTCTTGACAGACAGAGGTCCCTGCAATGCCATGGCAATCAGCCATGCTGTGCACCATACCGCTCAGGGCGCAGCTGAGTGAGTCAGCATCATCCGTGACAGTAACCCGATTCAGCATGCAGCATGAGGCCCGCACCAGCAACAGCCAGCACTGCTGGTGGCAGCTGCCCCTCCTGCCGTGCCCACCTCCATCCATCCCTCTTCCCTCCCCCTTTTCCTCTCGCCCCTCCCTTGAGAATGTTTCCAACATGTGATGCGGGAGGACCTGCGGCCTTGTGTGGTATGGCATGGGGGGATGGCATGGGGGGTATCGTATGGGTGCACGGCATGGGTGCACGGCATGAGTGCATGGCATGGGTGCATGGCATGGGTGCATGGCATGGGTGCATGGCATGGGTGCATGGCATGGGTGCATGGCATGGGTGCATGGCATGGGTGCATGGCAGTGGAAGCTTTGGCGGGCCTAGCACGTGAATGGATCCAAATCAGCGGTACGAGGACATGGATGAGGGGCAGGGATTGCGACAGCATGGATGCCGTGGAGTGTGATGGCGATGGGCATATCATTGCACTGTAAGCATGTCATTGCACTGTAAGCATGCCATTGCACTGTAAGCATGTCATTGCACTGTAAGTATGTTATTGCACTGTAAGCATGTCATTGCACTGTAAGCATGTCATTGCACTGTAAGCATGTCATTGCACTGTAAGTATGTCATTGCACTAAAAGCATGTCATTGCACTGTAAGCATGTCATTGCACTGTAAGCATGTCATTGCACTGTAAGCATATCATTGCACTGTCATTGCACTGTAAGCATATCATTGCACTGTCATTGCACTGTAAGCATATCATTGCACTGTAAGCATATCATTGCACTGTAAGCATATCATTGCACTGTAAGCATGTCATTGCACTGTAAGCATGTCACCCTGCATTGTCCCCTTGCACTTTGATTCCGTTTGCTTCGCATCTGGGAAACAGGTACTTGATTTTACTTCAGTCCTTCCGCCCTCCCTGCCATCCTTCTCCTCCCACAGCTTCATCGTAGGGTGCAAGGGTAGCCTCGTCAGCCCCCTTCCCACGGCTCTGCTCGCATTGTCCCATCTCAAGACTCTGTGAGGCTCCTTTTTCACTCTCCCTTCCCCACTGGCCTTCACGCGTTCGATCCCCCACTTTCCCCCACTGACTTGCCCTTGCTTCTAATGGGTTGTACTTGCTTGTATTAAAATATCCTTGCTTTTAATAAATTGTCCATGCTTTTGATGAATTTTCCTTGCTTGATTTGAATCTTCCTTGCTTGTAATGAATCATTCTTTCTTGTATTAAATCGTCCTTGCTTGTCGTGCCCTTGCGTGTAATGAATTTCCCTTGCTTGTAATGAATTGCCCTTGCTTGTAATGAACTGCCCTTGCTTGTCTTGAAATATCCTTGCTTGGTTGGTGTCCTTCCTTTTTCCCTTTCCCCTATCATCTCCATCCATCCACCCACCCATGCTTCTATTCTAATGCCCCTTCACCATCTTTGCCTGTGCTGGCTGCCTGCAGGGATATGAGGGCGTGCTTTCATCTCCCTCGCTCGCTCCCTCGCTCACTCCCCGATACCCTAGGCAGCCTGTCCTCTCCCATGGGCCTGTCAGTTCCACATTCCCCCATGCGCCTCCCTCTTCTCTCTTCTCTCTGTCGCACTACCGAGGTCCACCTGTTTTCCATCAGCCTCCCTCTTTTTCTTTCCCCAATCTACCTGCATGTGCATGCCCAACTGCACGCCGAACTGCATGCCTACCGCAGACGCCCCTCTCAAGCACATCATATCCAACCCACTTCCTCCCTCTTTCCCCTCTTCCCCTCTTTCTCCCCTCCCTGCCCTCTCCCCTCCCTGCCGTCTTCCCTTCTCTCCCCCATGCCTGCCGGCCCATCAATGCAGCAGCACCGCCTCTCACGGCAATCTCAAAGCTTCCGTTCCGCAAGAGCTGGGCAATCTGCAGCAGCTCACCCGCCTGTCAGTGCGCTTGGGGGGAGGAGGGATGTAGTAACAGGTGGGGGGAAGTGAGTGGGTGGGTGAGAGGTAGGTGAATGATTGAGGTGAGAGCATGAGTGTAAGTGACGGAGGTAAGTGGACTGTAAATCTACTGCATGTCTGTCCATTTGGCCCCTCAAACTCCATCTGGCCCATCAAACTCCATTTGGCCCCTCAAACTCCATCTGGCCCCTCAAACTCCATCTGGCCCCTCAAACTCCATCTGGCCCCTCAAACTCCATCTGGCCCCTCAAACTCCATCTGGCCCCTCAAACTCCATCTGGCCCCTCAAACTCCATCTGGCCCCTCAAACTCCATCTGGCCCCTCAAACTCCATCTGGCCCCTCAAACTCCATCTGGCCCCTCAAACTCCATCTGGCCCCTCAAACTCCATTTGGCCCCTCAAACTCCATCTGGCCCCTCAAACTCCATCTGGCCCCTCAAACTCCATCTGGCCCCTCAAACTCCATTTGGCCCCTCAAACTCCATCTGGCCCCTCAAACTCCATCTGGCCCCTCAAACACACCCCATTGCCATGATCTCTTTCTTCCCACCTGCACTGCCTGCTGCTCCCCAGTCCAACCCATCTCCTGCCACTCGTTTCTTTTCTTCAGCCTCTCGTCAACAGCCCCCTCTCCCCTGCAACACCCTCCGATATTTCTTAACCCTCCACATCTGTGGTGCATGGATGTTTCATGCTTGGTGCATGGATGTTGCGTACGTGGTGCATGCATGTTGCATGCATCGTGGATGGATGGTGCGTGCATGGTGCATGCATGGTGCATGCAGACATTTGTCAAGGAACTTTTTTCTCGACTCACTACCAGAGCAGCTCTCCCAGCTGCAGAAGCTGCAGTCTCTGTAAGGCCGGATGAGGGACATGTGATGGCATGTAATGGCATGTGATGGCATGTGATGGCATGTGATGGCATGTGATGGCATGTGATGGCATGTGATGGCATGTGATGGCATGTGATGGCATGTGATGGCATGGGATGGCACCCTACTGGGTGTGCGAAGCCTGAAAACCCATGTGAAGTGATGTTCACGGCACCGCAGCATGACAGGGAAATTCGCATGCCCCCTCCTCTTACCATGCTCCCTCACTTCTTTTGTTCTCCTTGCTCGTCGTTTTCGCCTTGCTCATCCTCCCACGCCTATTCGTGGGTTCTTCCCTACATCTTTCTTGCTCCTCCCATGACTGCTGTTTCCATCATCAGGCACGTGTCTAATCATGACTTCTCTGGGGAGCTGCCTGCGTGGATCTTCAGCCTCACAGATTTGACTTCACTGTGCGTGCTGCCATGCACCATCTGCCATGCACCATCTGCCATGCACCATCTGCTATGCACCATCTGCCATGAACCATCTGCCATGCACCATCTGCCATGCACCATCTGCCATGCACCATCTGCCATGCACCATCTGCCATGCACCATCTGCTATGCACCATCTGCCATGAACCATCTGCCATGCACCATCTGCCATGCACCATCTGCCATGCACCATCTGCCATGCACCATCTGCATGCACCATCTGCCATGCACCATCTGCTATGCACCATCTGCCATGCACCATCTGCCATGCACCATCTGCCATGCACCATCTGCCATGCACCATCTGCCATGCACCATCTGCTATGCACCATCTGCCATGAACCATCTGCCATGCACCATCTGCCATGCACCATCTGCCATGCACCATCTGCCATGCACCATCTGCTATGCACCATCTGCCATGCACCATCTGCATGCACCATCTGCCATGCACCATCTGCCATGCACCATCTGCCATGCACGATCTGCCATGCACCATCTGCTATGCACCATCTGCCATGCACCATCTGCCATGCACCATCTGCCATGCACCATCTGCTATGCACCACCTCCCATGTCATGCATCACATCCCATCGAACATCCTTTTCATCTTTCCGCTTCTATTCTCTCCTCTTCCCATACCTTCCCTTCCTGCATCCCCTCTCTAATATGTCCCCTCCCCTTTCTGCGCTTCCCTTCTCCCGTTTCCGCCCCCATCCATCTCAATGCACCAGGACTATTAAGGACAACCACTTTTCAGAATCCATTCCAGAGGCAATCAGCAGCCTCAAGCAGCTAAGGGAGTTGTGAGTGGTGCATTGCGAAGCACATGCACTGCAAGGCAAGGCACTTGCATTGCAAGACACATTGCAAGGCACATGCATTGCTACTGCAGACACATGCACTGCAGACACATGCACTGCAGACACATGCACTGCAGACACATGCACTGCAGACACATGCACTGCAGACACATGCACTGCAGGTGCATGTGAGACCATGCGTTATCAACTTTCGCACACCCAACTTCCACCGCTCCATTGCCACTGCTCCATTGCCACTGCTCCATTGCCACTGCTCCATTGCCACTGCTCCATTGCCACTGCTCCATTGCCACTGCTCCATTGCCACTGCTCCATTGCCACTGCTCCATTGCCACTGCTCCATTGCCACTGCTCCATTGCCACTGCTCCATTGCCACTGCTCCATTGCCACTGCTCCATTGCCACTGCTCCATTGCCACTGCTCCATTGCCACTGCTCCATTGCCACTGCTCCATTGCCACTGCTCCATTGCCACTGCTCCATTGCCACTGCTCCACTGCCACTGCTCCTCTGCCACCGCTCCACTGCTCCTCTCTGTGCCGCACTTGATCGCAGAGCCCTTGAGGAGGAAGAGCTGTCAGGGACCATCCCCAAGGCAATAGGAGCGCTCACCAATCTGGAAAATCTGTAAGGAAGAGGGATGTGCATTGTTGATAGTGGGATGTGAATCGTTAATAGCGGGATGTCAGCATTAGGGTGGTGATTGTGCTTTCTGATCTGAGACATGCTGTCCGTGCCATTGTTGCCCGATGCCGCAACTCACATTACCAGCTCAACCTCTGTGGGAAAGAGTTGCAAGAGTGAGTCCTGCGGAGGAGAGCGTTGGTACTGCCTCCAGCCCTTTTCCAATGTCCCTTGTGGCTTTGCAATGCAACTTCGCTTGAGCTTCTCCAGTGGCATTCCTCGTATGTAAGCATCCCCGCCTCCTCCACTACCCAGTGCTTTGGATGCACTACACCGCATCCACCACTGTGACGAGCTCCCATCCAATGCCATCCCATGCCATCCCATCCCATCCCATCCCATCCCGTCCCATCCAGTCCCATCCCATCCCATCCCATCCCATCCCATCCCATCCCATCCCATCCCATCCCATCCCTTCCCATCCCATCCCATCCCATCCCATCCCATCCCATCCCATCCCATCCCATGCCATGCCATGCCATGCCATGCCATGCCACGCCATTCCATGCCATGCCATGCCTTTTCACGCCATCCCATGCCCTCCCATCCCTTTTCACGGCAGGCGGGTGAGCTGCAACAGGCTGAGTGGCACCATTCCCGCCTCCATTGCCCACCTCACCGCACTCACCACTCTGTGCGCCCATTCTCCCTCCACCCCTCTCTTTCCCATTCTCGCTCCATCCTCCTCTACCGCTTTCTCCTTTCACCCCCCTCTCTCCCATTCTCCCTACACCCTAAGCTTACCTTGCCTGCACTATTTAGCAGTATTTACCATACCAGTACAGACAGAGACAGTACATCACATGCTTTGCAGTCAGAACATTACATTACATACTCCCCTTGATCATCCCTGCCTTCCACCTCCCTGCATTCAATGGCTCTTATTCCTCTCTCCACCCTTCTCCTCTCCACCCTTCTCCTCTCCACCCTTCTCCTCGCCACTCTTCCCCTCGCCACTCTTCCCCTCGCCACTCTTCCCCTCGCCACTCTTCCCCTCGCCACTCTTCCCCTCGCCACTCTTCCCCTCTCCACCTTCCCCTCTCTGCCCTCTTCCCGCCCTCGTCATGCTCCAGGAATCTCCAGGGCAGCAACTTTTCCGGCTCCATTCCAGAGGCAATCAGCAGCCTCAAGAAGCTGCAGGAGTTGTGAGTGGTGATGGGGCAGGCATGCAAGGTGCTGTGGGATGATCCGGTGTGATTGGTCCCCTTAGTGAGAAAGTGAGTGGGATAGTGAGAGGCCGCGAGAGGGTGAGCGAGTCAGTGACGTGTGGGTGAAAATGTGAGTGAGCTAGTGGGTGAGTGAGTGAGTGAGTGAGTGGGTGAGGGGATGAGAGGGTGAATGACTCAATGACGGATGCATGCGTGAGAGAGTGAGTGGAGGCATCCCTATGCGCTAATGGCCTGCCCGTCCATCCCATCCCATCCCATCGAATCATGTCCTGGCCCTCAGATTTCAGCATTTTTATGCAAGTTCAGCATTTTTTTTTCTGTGCCAGGGCTGATTTACCAGCGTTTTACGCGAATCTCTAATGTAAAACGACATTTTTGGCTAATTTCCAGAGTACATTGGTGTGAGGACTCTGTTTATTCAGCCTGATTCAAGACCAATCAACGGGCCTGATCCCATCCCATCCCATCCCATCCCATCCCATCCCATCCCATCCCATCCCATCCCATCCCATCCCATCCCATCCCATCCCATCCCATGCCATCCCATGCCATGCCATGGCAGGGAGATGAAGAACAACATGCTGAGTGGCACCATTCCCGCCTGCATTGCCCACCTCACCGCACTCACCTCCCTGTGCGCGCCCATTCTCCCTCCCCTCAACTTCCCCCGCCTCCCCCTCTCTCCTCTCGATCCCTTCGTTCCGCCTGCCTGTCTCTGCCAAGCATGGGGGGTTTGAGAGGGTGGGTAGGATGAGGATCGGAATCAGAGGGAGGGAGAGGGAGGGAGAGGGAGGGAGAGGGAGAGGGAGAGGGAGAGGGAGAGGTAGAGGGAGGGAGAGGGAGGGAGGGGGGGGAGACGAGGGCAAGAATAGGAGAGTACGGAGGCACCTTTGTTGTCTTAAATTCCGTCTGCTGCTGCAGGTGTGTGTTTCTCAAGGCACACACCTTTCAGCAACAGCACTCACACTTTTCCAAGGCACCTCCTCTCTTTGTGACTTATCCACTTCTCCTCTCCTCCTCTCCTCCTCTCCTAGTCACTTCTCAACCTCTCCTCTCCTCCTCTCCTCCTACCCTCCTCTCCTCTTCTCCTCTTCCCCTCTGCTTCACTTCTTCGTCTCTTCTTCGTCACCGCATCCCCTCTTCTTCTCTCCTTCCCTCCACGTCCATCCACCCACCCGTCTGTCTTCAGGCGACTCAGCTACAATTTCCTTGCAGGGACGATACCTGCTGCAATCACCACGCTCACTAATCTCGGAATCCTGTCAGTGCTACCTCCTCGGGCGTCCCAACACATGAGTGCCATCCCTGAATGGTGGTGTCTTTGACTAGGCTTACATACCTGCTGGTGTCAACCTGGCTGCATTGCCTTCAGATGAGTCGACTCTAAAGGCATGTCTATCAAGTCACCAGCTGCAGTCACCAGCTGCAGTCACCAGGTGCAGTCACCAGGTGCTGTCAGTTCTTGAGAATTCTCAAAAACCAGCGTGCACTCATCTCCAACAACTGTCAGCACTACTGCTGCCCATCTCTTCTTCTCTCTGAAACGCCACCCTTTCTGCTCGCAGCAGCTCGTTTTCTGCGGCTCGCACGTCTCTCCGTTCCTGTCGCCCACACGTCTCTCCCTCTCTACTTGCTGACAGACAGCCACGTCCTGACTTGAAGTGTGGCGACCTCGTCAGCCTTTCTGGATGTATGCCATCCACCCCACTCGCAGTTCCTTTCCTCCCATGACACATCTCACTCCCTCTCCGCTCCTGAGTCTACCATCGGTCGTGTTACCTGTAGAGCCACATTGTTAGTCTCATACATACCCTGAATGCTTTGAATCACTTCCTCCTCCCCACCGCCCTGTCCACGTCTTAGAAATTATGAGAGGAAGCATAGAGCGTTGACACACCCGTCTGATCCAACACAGCGCTTGACATATGAGTATTTCTTGGGTTTGACGACTCATAAGTCGACGACTCAACATCCTACTCCTGTCTCATCACTCCCCTTTTCCTGCACTCCATCTTTCCCCACACTCCCATTCCCAACCACTCCTCTGCCTTCCCACCTCTCTCCCCCCAACTTTCCTCTTGCATCACAGCCACCTTGACTGCAACCAGCTTACGGGAGAGCTGCCCTCCTTGCACCACATGGCCCGCCTCACTTCCCAACGCGGACTCTCTATCCGTTGCAACTACCTCACAGCCACAGCAGACCCTCCCCCTTTGAATGCTGCCGGCCTGTACAATGCCTCAGGCATTCCTTCAGACCGTGAGATCGTGTGTCTGTTCGACCACAACTGCCTTGCAGACGAGGGAATCATTTGCTACCCTTATAATCAGAGGAGAGCCAGCGAGTGCCGGGCGTTCTGTGGGGCGCAGCCGCTCACCCCGCCGTGCAGCGGCCATGGCGTGTGCTCCTTCGTGCTTGACCCGTCTCTCGACATGGCTGCCTGCGAGGATGATGCATATGAGCCGCCGCCACCGTACTGTGATTTTGAGGGCCAGTGCGACTGTGATGAGGGGTACAGGCCAGGGCCTGATGCTGGCACGTGCGTGCCTCAAGGTATGCCTGCTGCTAGCACGTGCGTCTCTCACGTATACATGTTGGCTAGTGCATGTCTAGTTAGTGACTTGTTCCTTTCCTCTTCCTTTTCAGCCACCAGCTCGTCCCAGCTGCATCTTGGCTTCCATAGACTGCGTGCTGCCATGCATGCTTGTTGCCGTGCCTGCGGCTGCCATGCATGCTTCCTATCCCAAGGGTTCCCAGGCCTGACTCGTTCCTCCTGCCTGTGGGTCACGGGAGAGTGGCAGTGCCACCCCTCCCACCCAAGTGAACCCCCGCATTCGTGCTTGGAAGTCCGGCTTGGTTCCCTCAACTCCACTACCCACTCTGAGTCAGCACCTACTGCTGCGCACCTGCCGCTATGCACCTACTCAGTATGGGCAGTGGAGTGGAGTGGAGTGAACCAAGCCGGACTTGGTTCCCTCAACTCCACTCCACTTCACTGTTCACACTGCGTCAGCATCGTGTGTGCTCATGCTGCTGTGCACCTGCTCTCCCTTCACGTTCTCCCATACCTCCTCCGCAAAAGCTCCCTTCGTTTATGGATCATCACGGCGCAACAATCACTTTCTCATGCGCTCGTGTCGCATGCCTAATCACATCCGCTTTTCTCAAACATCCTTCTTTGTGCTTGATGTGCCGCGCACCATGCAACCCATGCCATTCCCTTGTACCAATGCCCCCCCATGCCCCGCATTCCACACCCCCTTGTGCCTCCTCACGCCTTCCCCCTGGACCACAGGTGGTGCTGAGGGGGATGGAGGCGCGGCTGCGGCAACTGTAGGCGTATGGGGTGGCATCACGGCACCTTCCCTCACACCCTCACCTCCACCAGCCTCTGCTGTGGTTGGGGTGGCTTTGTCTGATGTTCTTGCACCTCACAATCTGCTGATGCTGCTGCTGCTGCTTCCACTGGCAGTGCTGCTGCTGCTGCTGCTGGCCTTGACACAGTTTCTGAGGCGCCTCAAGAATCGACCCCCCACACGCTATTTCTTTTCAAAGAGAGCCCTTGCTGCCCGGCAAGCTGCTTTGGATGTGGAGATCACTTGCTAGTGCACGACTGCCAAGAATACTTCACTGCCATGCAAGAACGGTTTTTGCATCGTCGAAGTAATTACTGCTGCACAGGAATGTTTACTTCGTTGAGTAATAATTTACCTGCCAAAAGCAACTCTATTGATAGTTGAAACTTGTACTAGGACTTATTCCAGAAAGGAATGAATTGCATTGACAAATTGTGCACATACGGTACGGTACAATGCTCTATTCGTCAGCGCCTCCTAAATCGTTTTGATGAGGTTTTACTGTAACGCGTTCGTCTCTGCACTGTCACCTCCTCGACCTCACCACCAACCGCATTGGTCAGCCCAAGTCTTCAATTTCTTCAGGGCTTCAATTCAAAGAACGCCGACGATGCTGTGCAGTGTAGAAGGTTTGCAAAGGTCTGGAGCGATATTGTGCGTTTCGAAACGGCGACATTTGGTGAGAAAGCAAGTTATTGATCTGGAACAAGTTTGCATGGAGCAACCGAGCATCACGCCATCCAACCGAGCAACAAGCCGGTTGATTGCACCATCCCTCCACCGCACTGCACTTTCCGCATGCTTGTGTTTCCCAATACTCCTGCGAGAGGCCTAGACAATTTACACGAGAATAAGACATGCGCGTTACTAATTTCCCTTTGATAGCAGCTGGAGTTAATAATTTACTCAAACGGCTTAGAGATTCCTTTTTCCTCAAGAGTTTCGCTTTCCCGCGCTGCAACGCGCACACGCACTGCGTGAAAAAAGGCAAACTGCTCACGACTCGTGAAAAGACGCAAACCAGCAGAACTGTTTAGCGCGGGGATCACGCGGGCAAGGCCGCGCGCGTGCAGGGCGTTCGGGCAACGGCAGCGCGTGCGGAAAACAAGCAAGCCGTGTCGCTTCGACAACACGGGCGGTACTATCGATGGGGTGTCACGGTGGCGCCGCGGCGATGATGGGGAGGCGCGGCGACGTGCTGATGGCGGCGAGAGCGGCGGTGGTGGCGCTGGTGGTGGCGCGCTGCTGCATGCCCCTCGCACGCGCTGCTCCCGTGGCGGACGCCGAGAGTAAGCCATAAAGCCGTGCTGCACTGCACGCTGAGGGCAAGCCGTGAGAGTAAGCTGTGCTGGACGCGCTCTCGTCCCTCCATCTCCTCCTCCTTTTGACAGCATCGGGAATTTTGGGGGTCCCGCAATCGGTAGGGAAACCACTAGCTGGCGAGTGGTTTTCGACTCCAGGCATTTGCCTGGTTTTGGCGATTGGTTTTCTATCCTAGTGGCATCTAGCCGCACATTGGTTTCCGAGTGGGCGAATGACTGCCTGCCATACCTGTACAGATGGTTTGGATGTGAAACTATGAGCAGAGGAATGAATTGACTAAGTCAGAGTTGGGTACAAATACAACCCTAGCAAACTGTACCCCATATGTGCTACCCCACTATAGCCTACAAACATGCATCAGCTATAATAATCTGACACACCCCCATAGGCAAAGTGGGGGAGAACAAGGGGTCACAAGACCAGTCAAGCAAAGCAAAACAAGCTCAGGGTGGATCACAAAGTCACCACACAGTCCGAGCACAAGAGCAAGGCCAGAGGCCAGTTCACATGCAGGAGTAAAGACATATATATAAAACTAGACAAGCAAGAGCAGGTATATATATGTCAAAGTACAAGTAAAGTCAAGAAGAGAGCAAGTGAGGCAAGACAGGTACAAGACCCAGCTGGGTACAAAAGCGCTGATGGTCGCAAGGCGCAAGTGCCTTGGTGAACACATCAGCAGTGTTGGCCTCAGAGGCCACGTAAGCAAGTCGCAACTGACCACGCTGCTGCAGCTCACGAGCAAGGAAGTAGCGGAGAGCAATGTGCTTCGTTCTGTGCTCCAAGCGCTGCTCTCGACACAAGGCCAACATGGCCTTGTTGTCTACGTACAGCACTGGAGGAGAACGAGGCAGCTCTCCAAGGTCAGTCAGCAGGTAGGTGAGCCAGCGAAGCTCCTGTGCAGCCATGGCCCCGGCGTAGATCTCAGCCTCACAACTGGAGCCGAGAACCGAAGACGAGCGAGTAGACCGCCACGAGACAGAGCCGGAACCAAGGCTGAAGGTGTAACCCTGTGACGACCGCTGCGTAGCCTGGTCGTCAGCCCAAGAAGCGTCTGCGTGCCCAGTAAGGACCACTGGACTCCGCCCTCCAAGCACTAGCCCCATGCCCGACGTACTGCACAGGTAGCGCAATACCCTCTTCGCTGCAGCCATGTGCTCTGGTCGGTGTCTCCCAGGAGCAACATAGCGTGCAAGGATGCTCAGAGGGTATGCAAGGTCAGGTCGAGTGCAGGTCATCAGGTACATGAGGCAGCCAACAAGCTCTGCATACGGACCACTCGACTCTACGGACTCATCCGAAGGCAGAGCTGAGAGTGAGTGGCGAGTAGGCAGAGGAGTGGCCTGAGGCGAGGAGTACGTGAAGCCGAAGCGCTGAAGGACCTGCTGCACCATGTGTGACTGAGTCAGGGTAATGGTGCGGCGTGCTCTGTCCCGAGTGATCTGCAAGCCAAGGTAGCTGCGCAGTTCACCCAGGTCTGTGCACGTGTGTCTCTTCAGCAGCTCGGACTTCACGTAGGCGAGTCCAGCAGTGTCCGCTGTGGCAAAGACCAAGTCGTCGACGTACACGAGGATGTAGAACGGCGGCAGGGAAGTGTCGGTGCGAAGAAACAGCGACGGGTCAGCAGTAGAAGGAGCAAACCCAAGAGCCGCAAGCGTAGTCCTCAGTGTGTCGTGCCACTCACGCGGTGCCTGGCGGAGACCGTAGACTGGCCGTCGGAGGCTCCACTGGGTGCCAGGAGGGAAAGTCCCAGTGAAGCCAGGTGGACGGCGAAGCCAGATCTCCTCGTGCAGGCTACCCTGCAAGAACGCAGTGCTGAAGTCGAGAGAGTGAAGCTCGTAGTCGCGCTGAGCGGCAATGTGCAGCAGCACCCGAAGAGTGGTCATCTTCGGGGTGGGAGAGAAGGTCTGAAAGTAGTCAACTCCCTGCCGCTGACTGAAGCCACGAGCCACGTAACGCGCCTTGAAGACAGGCGGCGAGCCCGGCGGCCGCTTCACCCTGAAGATCCACATGCCACTGACGATGTTCGCCCCAGGAGGGGGAACCGCGTCAACGTAGGTGCCTGTGGACTTCCAGGAAGCCATCTCTGCATCCATAGCTGCCTGCCACTGAGAGGAGTAGGGACCCTCTACGGCCTCCGCGTAAGAACGCGGAGTCGGGATGTCTAGTGCATCCGGGTCTCCCTCAGGGGCTAGCAGTACAGACGCGAGACGAGGTGAAGCAGCGGCTAGACACTGGAACTCCTCCTGCCTGTCCTCTAGGACGTCCGTGCCAAGGGCACACTCACCCCCGACGGACGGAGGACAGGCGGACTCAGACTCAGCGACAAGACGAGCAGCGTAGTCTAGACGACAGCGCGCAGCAAAGTCGACAAGCTCAGTGACAAGGGCAGACGCAGCAGACGACTCGAAGGAAGGGTCAGTGACAGCAGTAGCAAGGAGACGCGTGACAGTAGGACTGGCAGCACGAAGAGAGTCCGACTCCGGGTCGGCAAGAGCAGGAAGAGAGGAAGCAGGAGGAGAAGGCAAAGGGGCACGCAGAGGAGCAGTGGACGGACGCAGTGACATCCGGTGCGTGCCAGGGACAGGAGGAGGACGCTGACGCGACCCGCGACCACTAGCGCGCTCAGTACGAACAGGCGACGCAGGACGAGACGCAGGCTCACGACGCTCAGTAAGACCTCCAGTCGGACCAGCGTAGGGAGAAGGAGCAGGCAAAGGGGAGGCAGGCTGTAGCTGTGGCTGTGACCGGACAGGCTGCGGACCCTCTAAGGAAGGAGGAGGAGGTGTAAGACCAAGAACCTGCTGCAGGAGCGGAACGAAGTACGGTCGGGGCCGCGCGGCGACGCCAGAAACAGCAGGAACAGCACCAGCACCCCCGGCAGGAGCACCCACTCCAGCAGCACCTCCAGCAGAACCACCAGAAGCTCCAGAACCTCCAGCAGCAGCACCAGGAGCACCGTCAGTCGGACCACCAACCGCAGGCTCAGCGCCAACGTCCTCAGCAGGACCAGCTCCAGGAGAACACTCAGACCCAGCAGCTCCAGCACCCACAGGACGAGCACCGCCAGGTCGCGTGGCAGCAGCGCCCTCCGCAGCCGAAGAACCACCAGCACCAGCGGCACGCCTCCAGCGCCGGGCAAACCACTCACGCAGCTCTAGTGGAGAGAGCGGCTCCCGGTGAGACGAAGCACCCCCAGGCACAGCACCTCCAGGCTCGGCACCTCCCGGCTCAGCACCCCCAGGCTCAGTACCTCCAGACACAGCACCCCCAGGCACAGTACCCCCAGGCTCAGCACCCCCAGGCTCAGCACCCCCAGACTCCGCACCCCCAGGCTCAGCACCCCTAGACTCCGCACCCCCCAGGCTCAGCTCCCGCAGCAGCACCGGAGTCACCAGGGACCTCGACAGGCTCGACCGCGTCTACCTGAGACACACCTGAAGGGGCAGGACCCTGAGGGGGGAGGGGGACTACTGGGGGGGGGAGGGACGGAGTGCGGTAGGGGAAGAGGCGGTAGTAGGGTACCGACTCGTCGAACGTGACGTCCTGGGAGGACAGAACACGTCGAGAGGTGGGGTGGTAAAACTGCCACCCAGGGGCGTCGGGGGGGAACCCGAGGAAGACGCAGGGAGAAGCACGAGGGGACAGCTTGTCCGCAGACAGGTCGCGAACAAACGCCCGAGATCCCCAGACCCGGAACGCCGACGCATCGCCAACCTTCCCCGTCCACAACAGAGCTGGGGAGGTCTCCGGTCGAGAGACCCTGGGGTGGAGGTTGATCTGGTGCGCAGCGTACCTGACCGCAAACGGCCACAGAAAATGGGGAGCAGCTGCATGCATCATGGACGTACGAGCGACGTCCATGACCATGCCAATGCGGCGCTCAGCGATCCCATTCTGCTGTGGTGAGTCCGGAAGCGTGAAGGT